ATCTTTTTGGGAAAGGGTCTCCATGTAGCCCCAGCTGGCCTGGAACTCACCTGTAGACCAGGCTGGCCTTGAACTCACAGAAATCCACCTGTCTCTGCCTCCTGAGTGCTGGGACTAAAAACATGCACCACCATGCCCGACTATATATTCATTTTTAGTAAAAAAGTTACCTAGACATTAGCACTTGATTAAAGAAAGACAAGTATCTAATGGTCCTCATCAGAGGAAACAAGTGACTTGCCCCTTTCAGACAACAGCAAGTGTTCCAGCAGCCTAGGTGTGGGGGCTTTCATGTAAGGTGGGCTTGGGAGCATCACACTCACATCTTCATCCTGATGAGGGTGGATCAATTCCACAAGTCTCTGGATGATTTTCTCCTCATTAAGCCACTAAAAAGGAAAAAGAAGTCCAATCAATAGCTCTGTTAAATCTAACTAAATGGAAGGAAAATTCTTCTGTCAACAGAAACTCATATGCCCAGCTTTCCTGGGATAGAGGCTCTGGCATACCTGTCTAGACCCAGAAAGAACCAAAAGGATGTAATGATTACACTCTAGAAATGGACCAGAGAGTTTAAATGGGTGGGCCACTGTTCAACTATCCTAAAACTGCATATGCTCTCTGCCTTTGGGATACAGCTCTAAAGACTAGAGTACAGATGCATCAGAACAAACTGAATGGAGTCCAGGAGCCCAATTGGATGTGAAAATGAGACCAGTCTCAGCAGGACCCTGTGTAGTTAAAGGAGCACTACAAGGGCAAGGACAATGGGGACCCAGTGTAATGATGCCAGGCCACAACAGAGCTAGCACACTGGCTCTACTAGTGCACTTTGTGCTCTGTGCCTCAGACTTCTCCTGAAAAGATGGGGTACTGTCCCAGCAAGGATGCTTTCTTCAAGTGGAGTAAGTAACAAAGGTAAAAGGCATAAGGCTGTGTGGTACATCACTGTTTAGGCTTCCAACAAGCACTTAACAGCAGCTAATGTGCACACTGCACTCCTTGTATAAATGCCGAAAGGAAACAAGTTATGTGTCTAAATGTGAGAACAACTACCATTTTATTTTATTCACAATTGTTTATTTTAATTCTAAATGCAGTGCAAACAAATCCTGCCCATAGTGAGCAGAAGCTAACCCTCTGCTGGGAAGTCAGGCTCCTCCTACTTCTTGGCCAGCAGGACAGACACTCCAGAATTAGTTCTGGAGTTCTCTGCATGAACTACAGTCAGTGTGTGCTTTCCTCACCGTGTGCTTGGAGCCCCCACTTCACTTAGCACCTGTGTGGTGCCTCCATGGGTGAAAGGGTAGAGGTAAGCCCACTATTGCTTCTGAATAGAACAGGAGGCCATGTATTAGGAGAGAAGGAACCTCTGCACTCTTTGCTTCTGCATGGCCAGAAGGACAAAAATACAGATAGAAGCAGGTGGTGCTGAGGGTGTGGGTAAAGCTGAAGGCTAGGCACTCACATGCAGGACTTCTTGCCGGAGACCAACTGGTTCCACGCAGCTGACTAGGCGCAGTAGTAAGTCCATCAGGGCTGAGGTGCCCATGTGCTTCAGCACCAGGCTGATGAACTTGTCCTTCTTTTTCAAAAATATAATCACCTGAAATCAAACACACCTGGTAAGTAAGCAGGGCGGACTCCCTGACATATGGAAACACTTCCTTCAAGAATGCGCTTGAAAAAGAGTAACATTAATTATATTGAACAGAAATACTAGAAAACCCAGGTAAATGCTATATTAAAAAAGCTCCCTCCCAAGACAGGCAAAGTCCTAGAGGGCAGCGGTACAAGAGCGCAGTGGTAGTGCACAGGAGAGGCTCTACTAACTGGACACCATGTTCTGAGGAGGACAGTGCAGGCCTCTGTGCACAGTCACCATTCAACATGTGACTAGATTGTTTGTCCAACAATAACAGAAGGTGCACACAGAACTGAACTGGAAGACGAGGGTCACTGTTCTGGACCTAGGTCTGAAACACAAACTACGGAAACAACAGTATACAAGATGAACAGTCTGACAGGAGCTCATGAGTGACTGAAGAAGACAGATTACTAAGGTTTTTTTTTTTTTTCTTCCCAGGGGGCATTATACAGCTGACTTCTGTGGATGTGGACATGAAGAAGGGGCACAGAACCTATCATGGATATGGCAGACTGACAGGCAAGTGGATTTTGCATGAGTGGACACAGGGAGAGAAGCCTGAGATGAGTCTACCAAGTATCTACAAACTTGGTCCAGATTAGCCATAGGTGATATACCACTATGTGTAGGCACTGACCAGGGTAATGGGTACTATGTGTTGAAATATATCCAGAACTCTACTGGGAACAAGAACACAGAGACGGTCCACCTGGCTAGGAGATCTCAGCAGTGTCCACTAGGGTTGAGATGATGCTATGGTTGAATGTGTCCCCCAAATTTCATTATTAGAAATTTAAGCTCTAACGCTCCTGCTGACAGTACTTAGAGGTGGGCCTCTGGAAGGTAGTTAGGGTTGGGTTAAGGTCACAAGGGTAGGGCCCTGTTCTAGTTTGTTCTTTCATTGCTGTGACAAAATACTCTGACCACTACCAACTTGGGGAGGAAAGGGTTTATTCAGCTTACAACTCCCAGGTCGCAATTCTTCAAGGAGCCCAAGGTAGGAACTCAGGGCAGGAACCTGGAAGCAGGAGCTGGAGCACAGGCCATGGAGGAACTCTGCATACTGGCTTGCTCCCCTGGCCCCTGCTCAGCCTGCTTTCTTAGGTGACACAGGCCCACCTGCCCAGGGGTGGCACCACCCACAGTGGGCTGGGCCCTCCCACATCACTCATCAAGAAGATGCCCCTCAGACATGGCCACAGGCCAGTCCAATAGAGGCAATTCCCTGATTGAGGCTCCCTCAACCCAAGTGTGTCAAGTTGACACTAAAGCTATCCAGCCCAGGCCCCATGACAGCATGAACAGCTTTCTAAGGAGAAGAACAGATTTTCCTGTCTTGCCGTGTGATACTCCATGCTGGACTCTGCTCTCACCAGATGCAGCCTTTCAACCTTGGATTTCCCCTCCAGAGCTTGTGGAATTCAGTTATAGCAATAGAAAACAAACTTAGAAGAGGAGGAAGATAGGAGAACAGAAAACAGAGAAGAGAAGGAAGGGATAGGGAAGGGATTGAAGGAGAAAGGAGAGAGGAAGAATGATTTAATTTCTAAGAGTAAGGCTAAGAACAGAGAAGGTATCAATAACAATATCCAGATGAGGGCTGGAGACATGAGTCAGTGGTTAAGAGCACTCACTGGATGCTCTTGCAGATGACCTGGGTTCAATATCCAGCACCCTCTTGGCAACTAACAACCATCTATAACTCTAATTCCAGGGCATTCAATGCCCTCTTCTGACATCCACAGGCATTGCATGACACAGATACACTTACATGCATGTAGGCAATACACTCATACACATAAAATAAAAATAATTTTTAAAAATAGCATACTGGGCTGGAGAGATGGCTCAGCGGTTAAGAGCACTGACTACTCTTGCAGAGGACCCACATTCGATTCCCAGCACCCACATTGCGGCTACAAACTGTCCTTAACTCCAGTTCCAGGGGAACCTGACGCCTTCTTCTGACCTCCGCAGCATTGCACGACATGGGTGCACTTACATACAAGCAGGCAATATACTCATACATATAAAAATAATAAATAAAATATTTTTTAAAAATAGCATACTTGCTGGGCATGATGGCACACACCTTTAATCCCAGCACTTGGGTGGCAAAGGAGGCAGATCTGTGAGTTCAAGGCCAGCCTGGTCTACAGATCGAGTTCCAGGCCAGCTGGGGCTACAGGAGGCCCTGTCTCAAAAAGACAGAAAAAAAAGAAAAAAAGAAAGAAAGAAAGAAAGAAAGAAAGAAAGAAAGAAAGAAAGAAAGAAAGAAAGAAAGAAAGAAAAATAGCATACTTGCAGGAGGCTGAAGAGATGACTCAGTGTTTAAGAGCACTGGTTGCTCTTGCAGAGGACCCAGGTTCGATGCCTAGCACCCACACGCCTGCTAACAACCATCTGTGACTCCAGTTCCAAGGGATCCGATCCCTCTTCTGTCCTCCATGGGCATGGCATGCATATGGTGCATGTACATACATGCAGGCAAAACACTCATTTATACACACACACACACACACACACACACACATATATATAAATAATTTTTTAAATATCAGGATGAGTTGGATGCAGTGGTATACACCTGAATTCCAGCACTTTGGACACTGCAGCAGGAGGATCATGAGTTGGAGGTCTGTACATATGTGCAGGCAATACACGCATACAAATAAAATAAAAATAATAAATAAAATTTTTTTTTTTAAAAAAAAGGAAAGCCCAGAGTGGTGGTGTAAGCCTTTAATCCCAGCCCTCAGGAGGCAGAGGCAGGTGGATCTCTGTAAGCTCAGACCACCCTGATTTACATTGTGACTTTCAGATGGGCTGTGACTACTGAGACCCTGTCAAAAAAGCAAACAACAAAAACACCAAAAAAATAAGAATAAAAACAAACAAAAAATAGGGTATGCTGAGATGTCTCAGTGGTAAAGGCACTTGCTTCCAAGCCTGACAACCTGAGTATTTGATCCCCTGGGACTCACATAGTGAAGGACAGAAATTACCTCCTGCAAGTTGCCCTCTGGCCTTCATAAGGAGGTTGCATGTGTGCACACACACACACATATACATAAATAATGTTTTCTAAAAATACTTTAAAGGGGGGAAATGACAAGATGGCTCAGTGGTAAAGGCACTTGCCACACAAGACTGACAATCAGAGTTTGATCCCCCAGGACTCACATGGTGGAAGGACTGACTCCTGAAAGGTTCCCTCTAGCCCCAATATGTGCATGGCAACAAGTATGTGCCCCCCCACATACACACATATACACACACAATAATAGTAATTTTTAAAAATTATTTAAAGATCGTTTAAACTGAAAAGAAGAAAATATGAATTGTTCTAGAATATCAGAAGAAATAGACTGTATGACTAAAGACACACGGCATTCTAATGACTTTGCCAGAAAATTCTACAAAATACATAAAAATTTTATACAGACTCTTACAGAGAACATGAAATAAGGGGCTGTTTCCCATATAGTTGTATAAAGACATAAAATCTTGATTCTAAAGCCTGACAAAGGCATTGTTAAAGAAGGGAAATTAAAGGCCTTCTCTATCCAAACACCATGGTGCAAAATCTAACAATATATAAGAAAAATATACCATGATCAAGTTTAGTGTATTCCAGGAATGCAAGGTTGGTTTAACATAAAACCATCTCATCACTTTCAAGAGCCATTAATGTTAAAAACTTTCAAAAAGCTAGAAATGAAGAAAACTCCTTTAGGTGTTTTTTTTTTTTTATTTCTGTGCTAGTGATTAAAGCCAGAGCCTTATTCATATTAAGTAGTACTCTACTATTGAGATATACCTTAGGGTTTTTTTAAGCTACATTTATTTATTTTGTGTATGTGTGTGTATATGTGTGGGCATGCATGTGTCACAGCAAATGTGGAGGTCAAAAGCAACTTACAGGGGTTGGTTTTCTCTCCTTTGTTTTTTGAGACAGGGTCTCCTTGGAACTCGCTATGGAGACTAGGCTGGTCTTGATCTCACAGAGATCAGACTGCCTCTGTTGGAATTAAAGGTGTGCAGCACTACATCTGGATAGGTTTGTTTTTTAAAAAAGCTATGGGGGGGGGTCATTGGTAGTGCATGCCTTTAATCCCAGCACTCGGGAGGTAGAGGCAAGTGGATCTCTGTGAGTTCAAGGCCAGCCTGGTCGACACAGCGAGTTCCAGATTAGCTGGGGCTACATGGAGACCCTATCTCAAAAAGACAGAAAAAAAAAAAAAAAGCTATTGGCAGGGGGAGTGGTGTTGGAGGGCTGGAGAGATGACTCAGCAGTTAAGAGCACACGTTGCTCTTCTGAAGGACCGGAGCTCTCAGCACCCAGGACAGGAAGCCTATAATGGGTTCAAGGACAACCTGGGATACATGAGAACTTATATGACCAAAATACATTGGATACATGTATGAACTTCTCAAAGAATAAATTTTTTAAATTAAATGAATCAAAACTCTAGAGTGAGGGAAATGGGTGGTGGGTTGACCCTAGTCCAGGAACTACTGAAGACTGATTACTACTGGGTGAGGGAGAGTAGCCTTACCAACAGTCTCTAAATACACTGACTAGACTCCAGTGGATGAATCTGCACCGAGGACATCTAGGTACAAATGCTTGACTGGATAGGACTTAGCCTGTATGGTGGAATACACCCTTCTGGTGGGAAGGGTGGGGGGGCATGAATGGGGGAGGAGGTCTAAATTTGATTAAGAACTGCTGTATGGGGGCTGGAGAGACGGCTCAGTGGCTAAGAGCGCTGGCTACTCTTGCAGAGGACCCAGGTTTGATTCCCAGCACCCACATGGTAGCTAACAACCATATGTAACTCCAGTTCTAGGGAAATCCACTCCCTCTTCTGGCATCCACAAGCATTGCACAACATGGGTGCACCTACCATATGCAGGCAATATATTCATACACATAAAATAAAAGTAATAAATAAAATCTAAAAAAAAGAGAACTTTTGTATGAAATGTACAAAAGTTCAATAAAAATTTTTTAAAACTAAATAAATAAAACTTTAAAAACTCTAGCTGGGTGTGGTGGCGCACACCTTTAATCCCAGCACTTGGGAGGCAGAGGCAGGTGGATCTTTGTGAATTTGAAGCCAGCCTGGTCTACATAGTTAGTTCCAGGACAGCTGGGGCTACAGGGAGACCCTGTCTCAAAAAGACCAAAAAAATTTATTATTTTAATTTCATGTGTATGAGTGTATTGTCGACATGTATGTAAGTGCATTTGTGTCATACAGTGCCCATGGAAGTCAGAAGAGGGCATGAGTTCCCCTGGAATTGGCGTTACCGACAGTTGTTAGCCACCATTTCAGTGCTGAGAACCGCTGAACCATCTCTCCAGCCTGAAATGAACTCTTTTTTTTTTTTCAATTTTTATTTTATGTGTATGAGTGTATTGCCTGCATGTAGGTAAATCCACCCATGTCATGTAATGCCCACAGAGGACAGAAGAGGTCATCGGATCCCCTGGAACTGGCATTATGGACAGTTGTTAGCTGCCATGTGGGTACTGGGATTTGAATCTGGGTCTTCTGCAAGAACAACCAATGCCCTTAACCATTGAGCCATCTCTCCAGCCCCCTGAAATGAACTCTTAAAAATGTTTACACTGTTGACAAACATGTAACACATTTATATGGAATTCAAATAAGACAAATGTCCCCTACTCCTAGAAATAACTACTGTTATTGGTACATGTTCCATTTTTTTCCCCAGGAGATAACACATAGTTGCTAGTTTTCACCTAATGGTAATCACTGAGCCATCTCTCTAGTCCCTGTTTTCACTTTTGGGTATTGATCAATAAAGCTACTGTTTATCCTCATAATTTATATCCTTTTGTTTTGTTTATGTACAAGATCACATCATATGTGATTAAAGAAAATTTTATTTTGTGCTTTACAATTTGTGTAACTTTTATCTCTTTTTCATGTCTTATTGCTTGGGCTGCAGCCTTTAAATCAATATTGACTAGAGGTGGTGATTGGTGATTGTGTACTTCCTTTTTTTTGTTTATGACCTTAGAAGAAAAATTTGCAACACTTTACAATTAAGATGTTTTTGGTAAGGTTTTTATAGGGTTTTTTTGTTTTTTTTGTCTTTTTGAGACAGAGTCTCCCTGTAGCCCCAGCTGTCCTGGAACTAACTATGTAGACCAGGCTGGCTTCAAATTCACAAAGATTCACCTGCCTCTGCCTCCCAAGTGCTGGGATTAAAGGTGTGCGCCACCACACCTGGCCTATTTTTTTAAATATTTTATTAT